TCAAATGATCAAGCTTAGTCTTGAGGGCTTCATGATTAGAGGTGATGTTGATCTGGATTAGACAATGGAAATATGACTAATCAAAAGACCAAGATTAGTCTTGAGTGTTTCATTATTAAAGGTGATACTGATATGAATCACGCAATAGAAATGTATTTTATTGAGACCACAAATAACTATTAACTTAGAACTTAGAAGTATTTACATATCACATCAAACATTTTGTATAATGATCGATATAATGTTAATCAAGTAGCAAAAGATTCTATGAAGATCATTTTGAATGGTTGAAATTAATGTCATTGTATTTTAAAAATTATACAATTTTAATAAAATCAATTTCGAACATTCAAAATAAAATTAATGGACGAAAAGCATAACTATAATTATAAATACCAACAATTAACATGAATACAAGAGAATGAGAATGCACCCCTCTATATGTGAGACCTCGTTCTCTTACTGTTCCTCTCAGATTTGGATTTTTCTCTCAGGATCGTCCAGGATGATTTTGGATCGTCCAGGCCGATCGATACTGTAGAAAATATCGTCCTGAGCATAGTTCTGGGAACCGTCCCGAACGATCGGGACGATCGATTTTTGGTCTGTTATTATTATTATTTTGAAAGATGCAAAATGCATTTAAAGAAAGCAAAAGCTATTACAAACTAGAGAAATAGCCTAACGACAATCCTTTCTAAACTTACGAATGGAAGCCTTATTAAAAGATAATTAAGAAAAAGAAGTATATTTAGATATGAAATTTCATAAAGAACATAAGACCCTCTGCTCCTCATTTTAAACCAATTGGGGTGGAGGGGATACCAAAAATTAAACAACCCTAAAGGTTGATTAGTGTCCCAGAATTCCCGATTAAGTAAAAAATAAGGAATAGAATGATTCTTAAAATTCCAAATTCTATGCCCATCTTTCAAATACAATCTAGTGCTTAATTTAAATCTAAAAAAAGCAATAACCATAACCACAAATATAGGAAAAAAACATAAAATAAAAACAATGATCTTCATGCTTTGATGACCACCGTCTGATCACTTTCACCACTTTCGTCAAAACCATGCCATGACCTTCAAGCCATCAATCATCAAGCTCTATAGTATTTTCCATTTTCTTTGATACAAATCGTCCTCATCCATTCAATCTAAATTAAGTAAACGATGGTTAAGTAAAACCATCACTTTCACCAAGAAATCCCATTTTTCTTTCTCTAAGGATGCCTTTGATTGGCCCAAAATCTTTGTTTAACTTCTTCTTATGCTGAATAGATTTAGACGATAAAAAAAATTTACCATCTTCTATCAAGCATTCCTTATTATTATCTTCACTATGCTCAGCTTTAGACATAACAGCTTGTAGTTTTTCAAAGCTATCTTCAACAGCAACTCCAACAAGATCATCTTCACCCTTGTTATCTTTGGCATCTTGTATATAGTCGTTCACTGATAACTCAACCTGCTGAATACAACAATCAATTCCTTCAGCCAAAATACAGTCTTTTCCAGAATTGTGAACAACATTTTCTGCTGAATCCACGACAGCAACTTCTGAAACCTGTGCTATATGAGCCATAATTTCTAAACCGGGCACCTCAATATTTGTATCAACATGATCTAAAACCTGCTCACCCAATACAGGAATATCTGATTCATCCACTTCCCTTGTAGCCTCAATCTCATAATCATGAGATAACACATTAAATTTATTAGCCTTTTTAATATGATCATGAGTAAAGTTTTCAACTGAAGTATGAGCTGCATGCATCTGAATCTGGTTCTTAAACTTGTTTATCCTTTTATTCTTAAACTTCACATGTATCCAAGGGCCATATTCTTTAGAATAAGCACTATCCGTTACTTCTTTACCCAAAACTTTAGTCCCATTCAATACTTATGCATTTTATTTTGATCTCCTTTTTGATCATCCATACACATTTCATTCTTATGACCAATCTTACCACATTTGAAGCACAACGATGAGATTTTCTCATACTCTACTTTTTAAAAAAAAAAATTCATAAAAACCATCAATCCAAACTCCATTAGTTAATTTGGAGTCAAGATTAATTCGAACACAGGCTCTTGCGAATTCTCGTCTCCCCCATTTAAACATTTTCCTGTCTAAGAACAATGGAATTCCTATTTTTGAAACAATCTTCGTCACGTTCACCTCATCCCAGCAATGCAACGGAAGATAAGGCAACCGGACCCAAATTGGTGAGGATAAACCTTTTAATGAGGATGGTGAAAATTGAGGTGACCATTTATCCATCCTAATTATATGTCCACCCACAAACCATGGACCTCCACTTAGTACTTCTTCCATTATTTGAGAAGATTGGAAAGAACACAAAATCCAATCTAAGCCCAATGATGTGAGATGAAAGGTACCAAATCTATTCCATTCTCTTCTCAACTCAATGCTACAAATAGAAAATGGTGCACCTTTCCCAAATTCTTTGATTACAAGAGATTTTTCAAGAAGTTTAACATTCTCACATTCCTTAACCATATTCAGTTTAACCACGTTTGCATCACCATCTTCATTAAGATCAGTCTCCACACAATTAACTTTAATATGATTGGTCTTAAACCAATCATTCTCTGAACCAAAGTTATTATTGTCAGTATTCGATATAGCTTTCATACCTTTATATTTGAAATTCTTCATCAGCAATCTAAGCTTTCTCTAGTGTTTTCACCTCTGAATTCAAATTTGAATTTTCCTGATTTTCTGCTTCATTATCAGCAACAGAGGAAAATCTGCTTACTTTTAATTTAAACCCAATTGAAGATGACGCCTCCGAATCATTAGAGATTCCCGACAACAAATTCTTAAATGGAGAAGAATGAACATCCAAAACATCTTCCTCTAGGGATTTAATTACTTCCTTTCCCTTGCCCATCACCGAAGCAGGCTTGTGAATAGAATTAAAGCGTTCTTCATTGATGATCAGAGGACGTTGTTTGCATAATCCATCCCGAGTTGAAATGCCTCTGCTCTTGGATCCACAATGATAAAAATCATCAGGATAGCACGCGAAGTATGGAACGGAGGTATTCCGGTCATCAGCAGCCGATGACCGGCGACCCTCCGCCACCATTCAAAGCAGCCGGGAAATAAGGATCAGAGGAATTCAAAAAAGATGAAGCTTTCTCTCTCTAAAATCCTGGAGTATCTCTCTAGCGTGGATTCTCTCTCAAATGTTTTAATTTTTTTATATAATTTATTAGTTAGAAACATAAATTTTGTTATATTATATTACTATTTTTATTAAAAAATTATATTTATATTTATACGATTATGTTTTTAAATTTTTTTATGTTGAAGACTTATTTAGTAAGCTTAAAATAATATTTGTAATTGTCCGATTTTCACAACCTTAAAAAATATTTATAAAAATAGAATATTTTTTTTCATTTGATTGGATTAAAAAAAAACAATATTCATTTTAAATTATCTAAATATCTTTAAAATTTCTCAAAAATAATTTATAGCAGTTTTTCAAATGTTAAAATTATCCATCCAATCATCATTACTTTTTAACAAGCTGGAAGCATGGGCCAAGAAAAGATAAAGCTCCATTTCGTATTATTATTTTAAGTTGTTTGTGCTGTGCAATATAATATTTCCTATTTCCTATATTATATTATAAAACAAATGACTCTTAATAAAATAAGATCATTATCCAACTCATATTCAAAAATAAAAGACATTATTAATGGCTCCACGTACAAAGGGGATGGTTCCCCAAATAACAAAAAAAAAAAAAAAAAAAACTTCTGATAAGTCCTTGCTCCTTGCATTATGAAAAAGCCGGAAGAAAAAAAAGCAGCTACCAAAAGCTGAGCTTCTTCTATTAGCGTAGGAAAAGTAGAACTTTTCTTAGCAGCTATCACCTAGCCTCATCAGATCTCTCAACTATTATAGTATAGTATGGGGTCTACTGCACTGATCGTTATCCTAGCACCAAGCATACTAGAACAAGAAAAGATCTAAGGGGAAGAAAGCTCTTCACAAGCTGGGAGGGAAAGGGATAAGGCTAAAGCAAACAAAAGAGATGACGAAAATGTCACAGATTGAAAAGCCATTACTCAGCAAAAAGTAAGATAGCTGCTGGAGAAACAAAAATAAGCAGGCTACAAACATAGATGTCAAAGTTCAAGACTTATATATATGTGATTGTGTTAAAATATGATTAAATTCTCTCATAATTTTATGAAAAAAAAAAAAAAAAGACAAACATGAAAGAATTCGCGACCTAGTAGTCAAAGAATTTTATTTTCCAAGTTGAAAATTTAGGTTTCGTTTGGGACAGCTTTAGACTACTTTTTTCTACTTTTAAAAAAATTTTGTACTTAAAAGTAATTTTACAAAGCAATAAGAAAGCGAGTCTCAAATAAAACCTTAAGCTACATATTTTGAGATTTGTTGCTCATCGTCCAAAAATAAAAGTAATGTTATGCTGACCCACCTATATTGATTTGTTGACACAATACAGAGGGATTGAGAAAAAAAGGTCTGACAATTTAATGTAGAAATTATTATGTGCAGATTTCAGACGTAAAGAATAGTTCGGATTGTCAAGTATTTGTTGCTTATTTACTAAGTATTTGTAGATACGTAGTAAATACTTAACAAATTCTGGATTGTGAGTATTTGATGAGTTTTTGTTGAGTATTTACTGAGCATTTATTAAGTATTTACTGCATTTTTCTAATTTGCTAAGTATTTGTTGCTTATTTACTGTGTATCTACAATACATGATAAATAACAATAAATACTCAGCAATCTGGACGATTCTCTACGTCCGGAGTCCGCACAGAATAATTTCTCGATGATATCTTACGTTAAACCCCTTATGCCATCAAGCTTTCTTTTGAATGATAGGTAGGGCACTGCGGTACTCCTTGGAAGAAAAAAAAGGTAACGCAGTGCAATAATTGATGAACATGTTGATTCTCATGGTTTTGTTCTCGTGCATATGAAAGTGGCAGGAAATAGAAAGGTTGAAATGCATTGCAATGAAATAAGTGTCCACATGAAAAGCAGTTTTCAGATCACTGTACATAAAAAGCTGATTTCTCCAGGGATCTCCTATTCCCAATTCAAACTTTACCTGTGAGTGATGGCAGCAAAACTACAACCACAATCCTCACAAGGACATCAATGGAATAAGCTATCAATCTTCCCCTATCCAAATGGTGGCATAATGAGGGGCCTCGCTGTCAATCAGAAATTTAAATAACATCAGCAAAAAGAGGATGGTCATACTCAATAGAAATAGTCATGCATGAGTCGCTGGTCCTTCTGGATTCTTCTCAAGATCAATTGAGCTTGAGAAATCTCTGACAGAAATCTCCATGTTCCTGACAACTTGGCTTCTGCGATTTTTTCGATCCTAGATAAATAAAATGAAGATGTTACCACTTTCTGCCTCCAGTATTTATGACGGTTTAGGATAGATTTAAGATTACCTCGCGGAATGGGTAATCTTCTGCTTCGAGCAGTCTAACAACCTGACCCATTTTTGGTCTCTTCTGTGATTCCGGATCAACACACTTCAATGCAGCCAGTAGAGCAAGCTTAAGAGCTTTAGATGAAGTTTTGACCTCGAGGCTAGGATCAACAACTTCCTCAGACCTCCTGCTTCCAACCATGAATTTTATCCACTCAACAAGATTTACCTAAACATTCAGAATCGGGATAAGTTTCTAAGCAATCTGCTCAAAATTAGGAATTTTGTCCAAGGTAAAACATTATTAAATAGAAGTTGCATCATCAGAGCTTTAGAAAATGTTTTGGGTAGAAGCTATAAGAAGAAAAGACGTGAAGCCCACGCAAGATGTTAGGACTCTCAAATATGCCTCAGATTCAGAAAACAAAACCTCATTTGCAGGTCTACCATAATCTACAGGATCTCTTCCTGTCACAGCTTCCAATAGTAATACTCCAAAACTATAAACATCACTTTTCTCATTTAGCAGTCCAGTGTTAGCATATTCAGGAGCCACATAACTGAAATTACAGAAATATCATATAAGGAGTTTCCCATAATCATAGGGATGTTAAAAGTTGTTCTACAGAAATAATTATCATGTTAATGAAAGTATAACTTACCCAAATGTCCCCATAACCCGAGTTGTCAGATGGCTTTTTCCAGATCCCAAGAGCTTGGCCAGCCCAAAGTCAGAAACTTTCCCATTGAACTCTTCATCAATTAAGATATTACTTGATTTTATATCTCGATGCACAACCTTCGGTTCAATGCCTTCATGTAAATAAGCCAGCCTGTGGGATATTTAATCTTCATTTCGTGAACTTATTGTGTAATCAAAATAATCCAAAGCTGGCCAAAAGAGAAATTAATCAAAACTTACGCCTTTGCAGTACCAAGCATAACCTTCATCCGTGATTCCCAAGTGAGAACTCCATGCTGACGCATGGCACCATGAAGCCATTGCTCTAAGTTGCCATTATTCACAAACTCATACACAAGCATCCTGCAAGCACGTCCTTCGTTGTCAAGGGCCATTGATGGGTGGGAATGAGGTTAGTATTTTCATCCAAGTGAGCTATTTTATGCTTCGTTTAAGACGGCTTTCTTACTACTTCTTAAAACAACTTCTTAGTACAATAAAAAAAATGTACTAAAAAACTTCTTTAAGAAGCAGTAAGAAAGCCGTCCCAAACAAAGCCTTAATCTCATCTCACTTGGCATCAAGCATTACAAGGTTTTTAAAGCTATTCTTGATGCTAAGCATCAATCTTCTTGTATAAATCACTGATACTGAAAATAAAATAAACAAGCAAACCAATCTACTATGGTGATTTGGATAGTAAATTCAAAACATATACGAGCTCAGAATCACATAATCTCAAGCCAGTTAATGGACAATACACTTAATGGCAAAAATTGACAATCCTTTAACATCTAAACAATATTAAATAATTTGGAGTTCGATCCAGATTTAAACCAGTTTTCAACTTCATTCTGCTTTCTAAGATTTCAAAAGATTGTGCAGCAAGTTTTTGCAAACTGGTATTCACGTTTTATTCAGGGGCTGAGGGTGATCCATATGCACACAAAAATGATGCGTTTTCTTTGAACATTTCAAGAATCGTCAAATGCTCCTCTTCGAGTATTCTTATTGAAATATATTCTCAGTTGCATTTGTACAGGAAATTTTATTGTTTCTAGGGATTCAGGAAGAGCGGAAATGCTTATATTTTTCAAATAGCTAGGTTCCTCTTTCTACATTGACTGACATTTGAATGTCATGGTTTTACTTTGCGACAAGTTCTGCATAATCATAAGAACGATAGTCTTTTCAGCCAATTTATACCAAAAAAAAAAAAATGCTACATAAGTATTATCCATGTTGAGAAAATCTGTTACTAAGTTTGCAACAAAATGGGAGCTTATGCCTCTTTTCTTACTGCAGTAGCCTATATCTTGAGTGTTATGTGCTACCTAATTCAGACTTTTCTATGCTTATCAGCTGATTGAATTTAATCTACATGCTTAGAATTTAACAGCATTGCATAAATTGTGGGTTTTGCACTAAGTGGTACCTAATGGATAGTAATTTGAGGCAGCAAAGAAAAAACTTCACTCAGAATTCTTGAAAGCAATTTTCATAAAATGTAATAACTCAACTTGGTTCTTGGCTCATCCTTGTGAGAAACCATAACCAAGTTAAAAATCTTCACTCAGATTTCTTGAAAGCAATTTACATAAAATGTAATAGCTCAACTTGGTTCTTGGCTCATCCTTGTGAGCAACCATAACCAAGTTAAACAAGTATTCCTCCCATCATGTTATAGTTCATAATCCTCCAAGAATTCTATAATAGAGAATAACCTGAGAACTTGAATAAAGTAAGTTGGTTACTAAAATTCTTCACCTGTGAATTCCTTCAACACAATAACCCAATAGTCGCACTAGATTCTTATGCCGAACATGGCCAATAGCCTCTACCTCCACTCTAAACTCCTTCTCTGCCTGCCCCCTGCATGACAAAAAATTAAACATTAAAGAATGCAAATAACAAGAACTTAATACATATTGCCCATCTTTTGGGTACGAAAAGAAGCTCTTACATATTGTTAAGAAGCTTTTTAACAGCAACCTCAGTTCCATTTATCAAACGACCACGATAAACAACACCATACCCACCCTCACCAATGACGTTCTCTCGAGAAAAACGACTAGTAGCATATTCAAGATCTCTTAGAGTAAACCAATGCCCCCAGCCTAAATGTGAGAACTCAGGCAGACCAACTAAAGGAGAAGCTGATACATGTCCTCCATATGGAGAATGAGGCCTGCGTGTTGCTCCTGAGCTACCTTCATCCCCAGAATACGAGCTACCAGCCTTGTCCTGGTAAACTGAACTGCATTGGCTAAGGTTATCAGCGTCACTTGTCTTGCTCACAGCCAGGTGTCCCAGCGTCATCACAGAATCCTTTTCAGTAAATTTATTATGGTAGGTAGGCATGGGTCCTTCACGCTCATGTAAACAATGAGCTAAATTGTTTCCAGCAATTCGGTCAACTGTTATTTCCTTGGAAATGTCAGGGATTTGTGAATGTGGAATTCTATTGAGGATTACACCAGTTTTCCTCCGTGACATCAGCCATATTGAGAAGATAATGAGAACCAACATTATTAAAGCAAAGACACTGATGCCAATGACCACCCATAGCTTCAACCCAAGGAAAGTTTTCTGGTTTAACTGAGAATTCAGAGCATCTTTGGATGACATTTTAATTTCTGAATCAAAAACGAAAGTGGCAACAATTGTTTGATTTAGCATTTAAAATACATTTACTAAACAACAATGGTTGCAATCTACGCCATCTAACTAAAAGTAGAAATTAGGATCTAGTGAGGAATTCGACTATGCAAACTAGAACTCAATGAAAATTAAAAGAAAAAAACACCAACTTCCATTTCAATTGAAACTCTACGTTGCCAAAAATCTTGAACTCCAGTCAACTTCTTAACAAAAAATGAGATAATAGGTGCATATTTAATAATTTCTCCAGTTTACAGTTCTAAGTCTACCCAAAGAAAAAGGGTTTCCTCAACATCTTTGTCCAGATCACAAGCACTCTATGTCAATGCATCGGAAGTTTGAAAGTCAATACCAAATAACATATTTTGCTACCTGTTCAAAAGATTTAGAAGTATTCGCCCTACACGCTACTGTTCTTGAAGTTGAGAATGTCTGCAGTGAGGTTACGAAAAATTCCAATGACTAACTAAATAGAATATGGAAAAACGAATCAAGAAAGCCCAGTCATCCAAATTCTCAAACAGATTAAAAAAACCTGTAAGGACAAATGTAAATCTGATAGTTACTTTACCACTTTTGAGACTTTAAGTAGCTTTCCTGTGGAAGCAATGCATCAATATTCTCTCCAAAGAGACTCCTAATACGCGATTCCTCAAATACAGGCCAACATAGAAACCCAAACTTTGGCAAGAGTGTTTCTAAGCTGCAATACGCCAACTGGAAGGCTGAAAAACCTTATAGAAGCAAATAACGCAAACTGAACAAAAGAAATTGGAATAGGCTTGCTCAGAACAAAGAGAACGAATAATGGGCAACCAAAAAATACCTTTTTAGCTCCAGGATTGTTTCAGTGCATAGAAAGGGATGGTTTGGTGAGATAGTTGGTGGGTTCTTTCGCTCTTCGCTGCTGATGGGAGAGAAGAGGGGCCGACAGAAGCAAGAGAAGATGAAAACCTGTGGCAACAATGGAGGAAATCCAGAGCATCGAGACAGAGATAGACAGAAGAGAGACAGCAAGCCAGAAATATGAGAGAGAGAGAGAGAGAGGAATGTAGCAATACGAGAGAGACACTCGGAGACATGGACCAACTGCCTGATGGGATCTCAAGCTAATCTAAGCTGGTTCGATTCGATTTGGTATGGATCCTCGCTGGTGGAGTGATCCTTTCGTTTCCAATTTGAGATCGATTTAAGCAAAGTGAAGTATACAAAAATATTACTACTATAATAACAACAACAACATCAACATCAAATATTTATCCTACTACTTAGAATTTGCTACATAAATCTTTTTTCTATCAAATTCTCATTTAAATCTGATAAAGAAATGTCATTTTTAATATTTTTAATCAAATCTTTTTAGGTCTACATCTACATTTCTTAACACAACAAAATCTAATACATTCACTTTCCTAACCGAGTCATCAAAATATCGTCATTTTATATGACCAAACTATCTAAGGTGACTCTCTCTAATCGTACCTTTCACTGCAGCTACTCTAATCTTTGTATGTAGATGCATATTTTGTATCCTGTCTCTAAGAGTAAAACCACTCATCAACGTGAGCATCCTCATCACTGCAGCACTTAAATGCTTATGTTTCATTGGCCAACATTTTGCACCATAAAAGCATTGCAAGTCTCACAACCATCTTATAGAATTTTCTCTTAAGTTTAAGGGAGACTTTCTATCATACAACATGCCTAATGTGTTCCTCCACTTAAACCATCCAACTTGAATTCTACTAATTAAATCCCCTTCTATTTCACCCTCACTCTGAACAATAAACCCAAGATATCTAAAACATGTACTCTTATTAATGACTTGATCATCCAAAGTCATAATCCCTCCACTAAATCTATTAATACTAAAATAACACTCCAAATTTTCTATTTTAGATCTAACTCAAACGAAAACCTTTAGAATCTAAGGATGACCTCCATAATTCAAGTTTACCTTCAACTCCCTCTGTAGTCTGATCAACAAGAAGAATATCATCAGCAAAAAGCATACACCAGGGTATAACCTCTAATGAGAACATCCATGAATAAAGCAAAAAAGATGTGGGTTTAAGGTTGAACCTTTATATAATCCAACTGAAATAGGAAAAAATACTTGGTCAAACCACCTTGTGTTTGAACACAAGTAACAGCTCCTACATACATATCCTTAATGACTTGAATATAAGCATTATTAACCCCTTTCTTTTCTAGAACTCTCCATAGTACTTCTCTTGAGACTTTATCATATACTTTATCTAAATCAATAAATATCATATGTAGATCCTCCTTATTCTCACTATACTTATCCATCAAACCTCTCAATAAATATATAGCTTCCATAGTAGACCTACCCAGCATGAATCCAAATTAATTTTGATAAACATTAGTATCATGCCGCAAACTATGATCTATAACTCTCTCTCATAGTTTTATAGTATGAAACATCAACTTAATTCCTCTATAATTTGCACAATCTTGTGCATCACTTTTATTTTTAAAAATAGCAATCAACATACTCATTCTTCACTCATCTAACATATTTTTATTCTTCAAAATAACATTAAACATTTTAGTAAGCCAAGACATACCTTTATCTCCTAAGCATTTTCACACCTCTATTGGAATATTATCATATCCAATGACTTTTCTACACTTCATTTTCTTTTAAGCCTCTCCAACTTCAGTTTTACTAATACACCGGTAAAAATAAAAATAATTATTATCATTTAGAGTACTAAGATCACTATAGTCAATCATCTTCTCACAATCTTCATTGAAAAGTTTAACAAAATATCTCATCCACCTTTGTTGAATGAGAAGTATGCAAAATTAAATGATATTTAATAAAATGTAATGCTACATTATCCTTTCATAATTTAAGAAACTCTAAAGTTTATTAGCTTACGTATAGGTTGTGTTTGTGAATTTTTTTTAATTGACCTAAATGTCCCAAAAAAATTTATTAGTTCTAAAAGAGAGAAATAATCTAGCCAACACATCAAAAATTTTAGATTACAAGCTAAATAATATAGTATTTTTTTCTGTCCTATATGAATATCCACATTTGCCATTTATTCATATATAGCAAATACATGTTTTATAGATATTTTTTTCTATATAGATTTACATTATGTGGAATTTTACATTTTTTTTCCAATTAAGGACAATGTTTTACGCAATGCAAGAATCTCGAGGCAATGCAAAATCGTTGAATTAATGATTGGTTTTAATTAAAATAAAATATAAGAGTCATCATAAGCTCAAAATATTATAGAGGCTCACTATAAATTCAGTATATCATAACAAGCCGATACACCTGATAATAAGAGCAAGCTGATTTAATCATATTTATGATAGATCAACTTAATAGGATGACTTCCTCTTACACATAGCCAAAAGTTGCAAATAGGAAGAAATTTCTTTCTCATTAAGTGGTAGCTTTGTGGTGTCTATCAACGATGATATACAAGGGTGCATTTAATTGTCCTCCTAAAATGATATTGCTAAGAATATTACTTTGGTATCCTTAAATAGCCTTTGCCTGCTCTTGTTATATTTAAAATCATTTAGAAGAGGTTTGGACTCAAAGCCATTACAACCTCCATAAGCATTTATTTTATGGAGCCCGCAACAAAATGCTCCTCTCGAGGTGAGCAATATATTCATGTAAAGTCAAGTCATTGTTTTCAATATTGGTGACACAAATCTAAGATGAAAAACTTTCCCATAATTATTCTTATAAATTAGATTATTAAAACTTTGATTTTCATGACGTTGTTCCATTCATGGAATTGATGTATATGATGTGATATATTTATATTAATGATTGAATATTTTTTTAACACCCATCGATGATAAATCATTTTTGTTTGACCATTGACCACCACTTAAGTTAGCCATAATTTAGCTTGCTAGTTGAGCTAACCTAGAGGCACCCTCATCCAATCATGTGTTTATCATAGGTAAACATAATATACACAAGCCATTATTAATCAGTACAAAAAATATTTCATATGAGGATAAATTAAATATTCAAAAATATAAATATGTGCATAATATATTTTTTAGTTTATTATGAAGAATTTTCTAATTTTAAAAGTCCATATGAGTCCTCTAAGGAATTTTAGACTTGTATATAACATATTAAATGATGCCACAATCTTCAATTTTAATGTAAGAGTCAATTATAAAACATGTGGTGTAATTATCTGTCATGTCCCAAGATCTAATTAGAATAATAATTCTTAATTCGTATTTATTTCATTCATAATTAACAATACATAGTCATTTAATTTCATCAAGATAATAATGAATATACACATATACATCATTATTTTATTCATCAAAGAAATCATGTACAACAATCTAGTATAAATATTCACTCATAATATCCCATCAAACATTAATAACTGGATTGTCAAAAAAACCTAAAAATGAAAATATACATACACTTAATCTTATCAACTCTTTTCTTCTTAGCCGGGCCTTACCCTTTCCTAAAATAAAATGTAAATAATATAGGGTAAGCAAATACTTGCTCAATATGCTACATAAAATATGCTAAATAATTCAATGTTCAACATTTACATTAAATTACACAATAGCTAACTTTATCTAAATAAGAAGTTAAACAGTTCAGTTAAAGCAAAATTGTGTTTATATAATATTTTATCACTAACATGATTATGATAGAACTACTAGTATCAGTAGTATGAACATATCAAAGGTAATAAAATATGCATTTCTTTAACTTGAACGTGGCAACAACATGAACATTACTTGAACAAGAACTTGACATCAAAACATAACACATAATGAAACATAATATGGAACATATGTCAAAACACATTTCACATTTATGTAACACATTTAAGGATATCACATTTCACATTTCTTCATTCCTCCTTACACCTCCGCTTCTACTTATACCTCTACTTGAATACATGTCCCTTCACTATTCATATTTTATATTTAGCAATGTCTCCTTATACTTATGCTTCCACTTCCAATTATACCTCCACTTATATACATGTCCCTTGACATTTCATATTTCACATTTATTAATGCCTCTTTATACCTCAAGAGATGCTTATAACTCCGCTTGATCATATCATATTTGTATTGGCATATCACATCACATAGGGACAAGTATATAAATACATAGGCTCTTATACCTCCACTTGTATGCATATGAAACATCCAACACTAGCCATTAGCATAGTAATTCTCCTTTCAAATCACACATAATTTCAATTTCATGGGCACAAAGCTAGCAAAACTTTCAACATGTATAAATAGAGTATAACATATTAGAAAGTGAATAGAATGCATATAAGCATCAAGAATACATCACTTACACTTCCTGCTACCATGTATAAATCTTGTAAGAAATCTGAACTATGAGTTTCTTATTATGGTATTATTTTTTGCAAGGACAGACTTTGGGTTACTTTTTTTGGAGATATGAGATAGAATATTCTTCACAAGGCTCATTATTTAGGCTATATTATTCATTCAGGAAGTAGCAATATATACAGAGATTTGAAGAGTATATTTTGTTAGTCTGGATTGAAGAAGGATATAGTGAAGTTTGTATCAAAGTGTGAGGCTTGTCAGCGAATGAAGGCAGAGCATTAGCGACCGGGAGGTCTTCTACAGTCATTACCTATTCCAGAGTAGACATGGGAAGACATAATGATAGATTTTGATATGGGATTTCCCAGATATAGGCAAGGGCATGATGCTATTTATCCATTTATCAATTGACTGACAAAATTTACCTATTTCATTCCAATTTGATATATTGAATTAGTTGACAAGTTATTACAGATCTATGTTAAAGATATTATTAGGTTATATGGTGTGCGAAAGGTGATTGTGTCTAATTAGGATAATAAGTTTACCTCCATATTATGGAGAGGTATTCAACAAGAACTGGGTATAAAGTTACACTTCAATACAAGTTTTCATCCACCAATAGATGAATAGTTTGAAAGGACTATTCAGGTACCTAAGGATTTTTTGAAACTATATGTTTTGGATTTGGGGGATAATTTAGACGATCAATTCTCTTTGATAGAGTTTTCATATAACAATAGTTATTAGTCCAACATAGGTATAATTCCTTACAAAGCT